TGTATATTTCCGTAAGTTTTTTCGTTAACAACGACAGAGTCTCAACATTTAAATATTTTTCTTAACAAACACTAGTGTTAGATTTCGAAGAGCATAAAATGACCAGCAAACGTCCTATTGAATGTGTGTCGGAAGAATCAAAAAAAAGGGGAAAGATTCCATTTTTATTGAATTAAGAGAAAATAATAATATTAAAAGACAAAAGGTGGGATCTGGAGAAAATATACGTAACTGCAAATTGCGTTCATTATCGTTATAGAATCACATTAAAGGGATAAAAAATATAATTTTTAATTTGCTAGCATAAAAAAAAAACAAAAAAACATTAGCATTAGAACAATGATAGAACAACAAATTATAATTCACCAATATCTTCATCCTTCCCCAACCCGAAAACATCGTTTGGAGTCAACAAGCACAATTCCTAGTCATATGCTACAATAATTACGTATTGTGTAATGGCACAAATAAAATTTTCGTTTATTAACTACATAACAATAAAACCAGTATGAAATATTAATTATCGTTATAGAGCACACTTAGTAAAAAATCGAAGTATATATAGACATCCTAAATGTCGCGAAAAAGAGACAGAAGACAATAAATAATTTTTTTTCTTGAATAATATCATCTTCGGATTGTTACAAAACAATGGCAATATTACGCGATTGATGACAGCTGTTTTTGTCATAATTGGTGTTTACATCGCTAGATATTATTACCGGGACCTCTTCCAATTCCATTATTTGGCAACCTTCATCAGCTGGGCATCAATCCCGAAAAGTTTCTAATGCGAATGCAAGCAAAATATGGTGATATGTTCGAAGTACATGTATATCCAGGATCAGAACGAAACATTGATCTTTGCCATGCAGATCTTGTAGAGCAAATGAATCGTGCTTCCAAGACACTAACTTTTTAATAGAGTATGTTGGTATTTTCAAGTTTACTTATAAATTGCTCTATAAATTATCTTTCTTCTTTTTTTAACATGTCATTTATGATTTAATTTATAGTAGGGTTCTCGAAATGAAGGACTAACCGAGTTATGTTTACAAAATCGCGGAATTGCTTTCAACCTAGACGTTTCTTTGTGGCATTTTTATAAAAAAATTTGATCTCAAGCGATAACTTCGCCAATTTTCTAAATTATTTTATCGACAAAAATAAAGTTTTGTTTCAAGAAGCAAAAATTTACTAGAATAAACTTGGCTCTGGTGCAGTAATTGATTTTGTAGAATGGATGACGTGTTTCAATACTGACCTTACATTAAAAACAACAACCGGAAAAAATTTCACACTTTAACAATGTTCTAAAATTCTAGGTTGCCAAATGATAAACAGGTTGAGCTTAAAGGAATCTCCGTAACTGAAGCCAAAAATTTCATTAACAAAATTAAGATGTGGATATGGATAATAACAATACTTTTATTTTTCTCACATGCAGTAAGACATTATGTTCCTGGATTCTGTCAATACACGAAAAATTATATGAATGACAAAGAGTTTAATAAAGAAATAATTGAAGAACGATGACAAGAGATTGAGAAATTATCAATCAAAACACCACCATTACAGAAAGATATTCTGTCAAGATTAGATTATTAATAACTAATACAACACGGGATGAAAATTCTAAATCTGACGATATAGAAAAAATGAGACCTTTAAAAGATGAAGTTATAATTAGTGGAATTCAAACAGTAAGTGTTAAAATAACTAATTGTTATATAAACTAATGTAATTAAATACATACTAAAAAAATATATATTTTATGTATGCAGTCTGCACAAACTTTCTGTTATATAATTTACTATGTTTGCCAAAACTCAGCAGTAAAGCGCGTCTACTTCAAGAAATCCATCAAATTATTGGTAATGATCCTTCGCAATTCACTTATGATATGCTCGCAAAGCTCGACTATGCTGAAGCAATAATTAAAAAAGCACAAAGAGCTTCAAATGTAGCCGGATTAGTGACAAAATTGCAGGGTATAAATTTAAAGCCGGATGAACAGTTCATGTACACCTTTTCTTGCATATGCAACAGAATCTGAAGCGTTAATTGTCTAATAGTTGTATTTTCTCTGATAACTGAACAAAATATTAATTACACCACGTACAGTCAGAGCTTGTTATTAAATGAATTTATCATTTCCAAGAGTATGCTTTAAGAGAAGTATATCTTTAATACAATATAGTAATACTTCTCAAACATGTATAGAGGGTTTTTATTTATTTAGTAGTCTATGACTATAGAGGAAACGACTGTATATTTTAGTTTGAAGTTTTCTAATTCGATAATTTCACATTAATATTTCATTTTAGCTTCTAAAATCTATGAACTTTCATGTTTTTTAGAGTTGTGATAATGATAAGGAAAGCGTCAAATATCAAGTGATCTTTGGGATTGTTGTCGATCCACAGGTTCTACAGATTATGATATATTATGACTCATCTTGATCAGGTGTCTAATAAATAAAAATCACCTGATAGGAATTTATATTACATGTACATGTACTTTCATTTATTAATATTATACTAGAATTCAGTTATTTTTTCTTGTATTAATATTTAATTAATTTCTATATATATAGTATAAATATCTATTGTATTGCTTGTTAAGAAAATTATCATTATCTTGATATAATTTATACACATATTTGTTTGTTAATTGACAATTTGTTGAATACAGTACATCAAATGTGTAAAATCTCCATCTGTTTAAACTGGTTCTATAAAAATATGGCTCTTTTTTCAACATAAAACACAATCTTTTATTTATACACACACATATAAATAGAAGTCATTAAAAGACATTCCATCTAAGTCATCATTTATTTATAAATGAATACTGAAAAAATACTCAATGCAATCGTTGTCAAGCTCACAATTATTGTAATTACTATTACTCATTGTAGTTAATGTGCTCATTGGTAAGAAATAAGGGCTGCTCTCGCTCTTTCTCACGAATTTATAAAGTTGAATGGTCTAGCAAAAAAATAAAGACATGTGTGAAATATGATAAACATGCAATATTTTTTGAATGGATCTCTTTTGAAAATTTCACCAATATTTTGCAAAAGGAGATTTTGGAACTATTTACAAAGCAATCTGACTGGATGGACCAATATCTGACCATCACAGGGTAAAATATGTAAAATTGTATTACATGATTCAAAGAAAATTACATTATAGTTTTATAAACAAGATAAAATTTAAAATATACGTAAGATGTTTATTTCCAAATAAGGTTAATTTTTTCAAAAATAGATTCAGATTGCTCTAAAGTGCACTTATTATAATAGTGCTCGCCATATATAATGAGAAAAATACGCCATTTTTATTTTGAATTATAAAAACTATATATATAAATATATAATATAACAGATTACAAACAAATTTTCTCAAAGTTACTTAATAGCATATCTTATTTTTATTATTCTCAAATATTTACTTTTGATTTTGATAAAATGGATCTGTTTCATTATCAAGTTGCAGTTGTTTTTGAAAGAAGCTCAATATCTCCTCATTCTTGTTAATTTCCTCTGCTGTTTTACAATATATTGTAAAAAAATAATCCTGTTTTTTTTTAGTTCCGGAAAACCTTACATTCAATGTTAATGATGAACTGGTATTCGTTGTTGGACTTCTGAATGCCTAGTTTCGCTCCGTCTTCAAAAGTGATATATATAAGATCACCATGACTAAAAAGATTGATACGAGTTCGTGAGACTAAAAAAATCATATGGCATACTTTCTATGCGTACTTTATTCCCAACTGAGCGATGCTCTGTCCGGAAAGCTATTTCGCTTGTACACCATTTTGCAGTTCTTTTGATATTTTAAGTGTGGACGGATCAAATTGCAATCTTGATGGAAAAAATATTTATTTAGTTTTAAAAAATAAAGTTCATATACATAGATTCATGATTTAAAGCAAAGATTCTCACTTTTTCTGCCAACGCCATAATATCGTCATTTGGATCAACCCCAAAGCGATTCATCCCCTCTTTATGTCGAATGCATACAATCTTGATCTTCAAATAGAAAACAGCAAATCAGCAAAAAGACTTATTATACAAGTCCTTAAATTTTTGAAATTTCCATATTTTATGGTCTTAATCGGAAGAAAAATGCAGTAACAACAAATATCCTAGGTTTTATTAATAGAAATTCGATATATGTAAAAAAAATGCGTGTTTAACACGTCTATTTTCTAGCACAATTAAATATTACATAATTTAGAGAACGGTTAAAGCGTAGTCAATCACGTGATATATCTTAAAAATATTAAAAGGTAATTTTAACGTTAGGGTTAGGAAGGAGATCAAGGTTATATTTAAAATTGCCTCCGACATTTTTAATTAGTGCTCCAAGATATATCTAAGCACCTGTTTTCATTTTATTGACATATACACGACTTCATCGAGTTACTCGATCAATTTCGATTTTCTGTTTCTAAAGTCACTTTCATTAATTAGTCAGTATTCTTATTCCCTCTTGAATAATATTTTAACACTCAAACTTTTGTTGGTCCAAATCCTCCGAACCTTTTATTAAACAATAATTTAGCAGCGCATTATTCAGCAATAACATATTCAAAAAATAATAATAATAATACTAATTTACCCCCCATCAACTTTGCCATTTCCGGATCTAATCCTTCACCCTCATTACTATCATTGTCTCTTTTTCTTGCGGACACATTTATTCGACACGCGCCTCTGAAATCATATTCTTCTCTTCTTTCTGTTTTTTTTTTTTAGACGAGCCAGTCGTTTTTTGTACTTGATCCAATGTACTACGCTCTACATTCATAGTTCAGTTTATTGCTCTTTGATCTTTATGAAAGGGAATAAAAAATTAAGTATTGTCATCTATTTTCCTTACCAATTGCAACATTATAAACGACAAATCCACATCAAATAAGTTCACATGCATAGAACAAGTACTCACGTTTTTTTCCATTAATGTGATCCAAATAATCGACACTATCCTTCACCAATCGCACACTTTACAATAATATCCTGATTGTTTCGAGGCAATACTAGTGCTTTGAACCAACTGGGTTCTATTCAGGTTAGCATCGAGCACAACTTTCTCTGTGTGCGCAGTAAGCAAATCATGCATCCCGAGCATCGTCAGCTGGTTTAGGTTTTAGACCTTTACGTTTTCCTCTTCTAGCTGTTGTTCACGACGAGCACGATCTCGTGCACGCTGTTCGTATTCTTATTTGTCCCAGGTACAGCGAAAGCTTGTGCGTGCTGTTGTTGAAAGTGATAAAGGTTAGCATGGAAAAGAGTTGAAAAAGAAGAAAGGTAATTTTAAATGATCGTTACCGATTGTGTAGCACTCCTTTCTTTTGCGACATTTGTAATGAATATTTTTCTATATCCAGATTTATTTCTGATTTTCTGATAGTGTTGTGTAGTCTGAATATTCAGAACCAATCCGATTATCTAATTAGTTCTGAGAGAGTGCCAAAATGACGAATGTTCAGTACTAAATGGGCTATAGATGATATCGATATGGTACTGTTGCGTGCTACTATTTTAATCGGTCAAAGAGGGGTTTTTACGCAACTGGAATGAGAGCTAGACTGAATTATTTACGAGTAAAGGGTTTCTTTGGGTGTTCTAAAGGCTTCCCGTGGCGACTTGTACG